CCTCCGATGCCTCACTTGTAAAGTGGGGCAAATGTCTCCACCTCAAGGGTGCAGCACCCGGCAGAGGCCAGCACATAGTAGGCGCCCAATAAACAACAGTCTCATCTCTATTTCCTTTGGAGAGCTGCCAGTTAAATGGGGGGGGGGTGCCCTGCCCTCAGAGAGCCAGACAGGGTTGGGGGGGCAGATGGAACACCCAGAGAGAGAAGAGGAGGAAAGGTGGGGGCTGGAGGCAACAGACGCAAATGCTGGAGGGAAGGGAGCCATGTGGGGGCCGAGAGCGTCACCATCTGTCATATGAGGGCACCGCTGCCCCCACCCCAAACACTTCCATCACGAATACTCCCAAAAGCCGGCCATGCCAGACAATTAAAATTAATTCACATGTGGAGGCTATTAGTTTTAATGTATTTTTGTAACCACTACCGCAATCAAGATAGGAAGTTTCTTCACCCCCAAAACCCTCCCATGCTACCGTCCATAGTCACACCTTCCCCCCACCCCTACCCTGGCCACCACATGTGTGTCCTCCGTATTTTGTCAGTATTTGTCAGTCGTGTGACAGTATTTTGTCTTTTTGAGGCTGTCAGGTCAGTGGAGTCACATGGCATGCCACCTTTGAAATCCACTGCATGGTTGCATGTATCAAGTTTGTTTCTTTTTCCTGCGGGACACTGGTCTGTGGCATGGATGTACCACAGGTAACCATCATCTATTGAAGGACGTTGGGTAGTTCCCAATTTGGGGCTATTACAAAGAAAGATGTGAATGTCGTGTACTGGTTTTGTGAACATAACTTTCTGTTTCACTTGGATGGGTACCCACTTACTTACGGGGTGCTACGGGTCCCCTAGTGCGTGTACGTCTAACTTGATAAGAAACCGCCAAATCATTTTCCAGAGTGGTTATACCATTTTGCATCCCCAGCAGCAATAAGCTCCTGTTGCCCCCGTTGCCATAGCGCTGGGCACGGTCAATATTTTTTATTTCAGTCGTCCTGATAGGTGTGAAGCGGAATCTCGTAAAGGTTTGAGATTGCATTCTCTAATGACTAATGATGTGGAATCTCTCTCCATGTGCTTATTTATAATCTGAGTGTCCTCTCTGGTGAAGTGTCCGTTCCAGTCTTTTGCTCCTTTTTTCCTTAACTTTTGATTTCAAAGCAATGATAGGCTCAGAGGCAGTTGTGGAATTTGCACACAGAGGGAGGTCTCCTAGCTTTCCTTTATCTGGGAATGTCTTTATTTCACCTTCACTCCTGCAATATCTTTCCACTGGATATCCAGTCCTGGACTGTAGTTCTTTTCTTTCAGCCCTTTGAAAATATTGTTCTGCTTCCATCTGGCCTCCATGGTTTCTGATGAGGCGTCCAAAGTCATTTGGATAATTTTTCCCCTTATAAATAATTTGTTATTTTTCTCTGTCTGCTTTCAAGAGTTTGTTCTTTGTCTTCAATTTTTAGCAGTTTGATTCTGGTGTATCTGAGAGTGGATTTCTTCATTTCATTGATCTTCTTGAGTCTGTAGATTTACATATTTTACTAAATCTGGGAATTTTTCAGCCATGCTTTCTTCAAATATTTTTCTTTATTACACTCTGTCTCATCTCCTTCTGGGACCCCAAGCTCATGAATATCAGGCCTTTTGATATTATCCCACAGGCCCCAGAGGCTCTGTTTTAAACTCTCCTCCCTTCCTGTTCATGCTGGATACTTTCCATTGACCTGTGTTCATGTTCATCGGTTGTTTCTTCTGTCATTTCCATTCTGCTATTGAACTCATACCATGAATATTTTTATTTTGGCTTTGTATTTTCAGTTCTAATGTTTCCATTTGGTTCTTCTTTACGTCTCTCTTTCTTTTTGCTGAGGCTGGCTATATTTCTGTTTACTTCAAGAGTGTTTGCCCGTACTTGCTGGAACATTTTTGTAACAATTGGTTTTAAGCCTTTGTTTGATAACCCTAACATCTATGTTATCTCAACTTGGCTTCTGTTTATTGTTTTGTTCCCTGCAAAATGCATGTTGTAATTTCCCTGTTACTTCGTATGCCAAATCGGTTTGGATCGTATCCTGGAAACTTTGAATATTTTTTCCTAAGGCTCTGGGTGTGTTCTAAGTCCTACGAAGATGTGGACACCTTTGCTTTAGCAGCAATCAGCTTAGTTGGGTCCAGGCTGCACGTTCCCGCCAGTCTTCAGGGGCTCTGATTCCTCCATCAGGTCAGCGTTTAAAGCCTTTCAGTGCTATTCAGATCTGTCCTGTGTGAGCGTCCAGTGGCCCTTCTGGAACTGGGCAGTGTCTCTCGATAGCTGGTTTCATAGAGTTTTGGTGTGCTGTTTGGGGTCCATGCGTGCTCAGCTTGGGCTGATCCTCCGCTATCATAAACAACTATAGGGGTGACTCTCCTGACCCCCCCTCTCTGTGTCTTCCTGGTACTTTCTATTCCCTGGACTCCTCTCCTTGGTCCTCCGGCCCAAAGGTGGGGCTTTCATCAGGACACTCTGCTGTGCACTTCCCATGACCGTACCTACAGCAGGGCCACATGGAGGGAGGACAGAGTGAAAGTGGTAACGTGTTTCCACCTCACCTTCTCGAGAGCACAGCTCTTGACCAGGGGGGAGTTTTCCCTCCTTTGGCTCTTGGAGTGCCCACGCGTTTGCTGCTGCTGCCGCCATGCTGGCCACTGCCAGGGGGCCTCCTGGGGGCGGGGGGCTGAGATGGGGGCCTTCTCCCACTCTGTCAGTGTTAGGAGTGCTCTCCTGTGTTCTGAGTTAGACGGGAGGGACTGGGTTGAACTCTCTCTGTAGGTGCCGACGCATGCCCCCTTCCAGGCTTCAGGCTGCGAGTCCAAGCTGGAGCAACCCCGAGGAAAAAAGGGGACGTTCATCAGTGATTTGTGGGTGCTTCAAATTCCAGTCTTCTTTCCCCATCACCTGCTAACACTTTTCAGAGCCCTCATATAGCTGCTGCATGGGCTCTGTCTGGATTTTATAGCCACATTCGACTGGGCTTGACAGGGGCTGCGCCTCCTCCATCTTACCTAGAACCAGACCTCAGACACTTTTAACACAAACCTCCCCTCCCCACAGCTTCAACCATCAGGGCATCCACCTGTCTCCAAATGGGGGTTTCTTCTGGGGAAAGACAAGAGGGAGTGGGGTCTCTCCCCCTCAAACGACTGTCTTTCCAACCGTGAGGAGGCATAGACCCGCCATCTGTGGACACTGTGGAGGGTCTAGGCTTGACCGCCAAGTCGAAGCGTCACCCCATGTGCGAGATGGTCAACAAAGTGATGTCCTGTGTTGCCAGGAGCTTAGGGAGCTGGATGCCAGGCACTGTGTTGGGTGAAGGGCCTGCAATGGACAGTGAAACAGACAAGTGTCCCCTCCATGGTGGACTGATGTGCATTCCACAAAGCATGTCCACTCCTGGCCCTGCTGTCTGGCCTCCATACTTGCCTCTGCCTTGCATCCTTCCGGGTCCTGCTCCACCCAGGGGAGGATGGGGTCGGCCCTGGCAATCACCATCACCCCTTGTGCAGGGCTTCACCGTGGGATGCAGGTCAGCTGATGGAGGGGCCTCCCACTGCCCCCCCCGAAGTGCTTCCTGGGGCCGGGGGTGATGGGCTGTGATGGCTGGAAGGGCCTCCCAGGACCCGGCAGCCGATTCCCCAAACTCCTTGGGGTTTGCATGGCCCTGGCTGTTTCCAATGCACACAATGCACCAGACACCCCTTTTGTTTCTCAAGTTGCCCACATCCAAGATGCCCCCCACTTCACAGAGCTCCTCAGAGTCGGACCAGGTGGGGCTCTTGACTCAGAGGGGTAGAAAACACAGCTCAAGCCTGTTCAAGCAGGAGGGAATTAGGGCCCCCCATAAATTCCTGGCAGGTCTAGGTGGATCCCGGTACTTGCATGGTGTTGTAAGCACCCCATCTTGCTCTCCAGCTTGCGGATAAGCTCCCGCCTGGGGCACAGAAACTGGTGGCTCCCAGGCCTTCTAGACCTGCATCCACTGAAGGAGCCCCATCAGGAAAGAGGCAGAAAAGTCAGGAGGGCCTGACTGGGTCAGGGTAGTGTTGGGAACGGGGTTCACACAAAATGGGGTCCCCTGGAAAGAGGGTTCAGCCCAGAGGCCGACTCAGATGGAGATTGGTCTGCTGGAAGTTTCCTGAGGGAGCTGCTGGGAGGCTAGGGGGCCGGGCTGGGCAGAGGGAGCGACTGTACCAGGCACACGGTCCCAGAGGCCTCAGCGGCCCCACAGGCCTGGGCTGGCCCTGCAGAGCCGTCCCAACCTGGGGCACGGGTCTGGGCCTCTGCAGTGCCCACCAACCAGGCCCAGGGGACGGGCCGCCCTGCAGATGCCAAGGGGCTTTCAGCGAGCGCCCAACCCGCAGAGGGAGCCGGCAGAGTGGGGTGCCTTGGCCTGAGGGGAATCTGGGGTCTCATGGAAGCCCCTGCAAGTGCTATTCAGAAGCGGGCCGGCCAAGCACCTGCTCTGAGCCCTCCTGAGTCCAGGCTGCTCTTAGGTGAGGAGGCCGCCCGGGGCGACTCCCCTGAGGCCCTCCTGAACGCGGTGACATGAGCTCCCAGCAGGAGAGACCATGGGACATGCCGGGGAGACCTGCACAGGGTCCCCACCCTCTGCACAGCACTCACGGCAGCCTTGTGACATAGAGCGGACCCACCCGGGAATGCCTGCTAGCGACACTTTAAAATCCAGACGGCTTCCTAGACGGGACTCGAGCGTGGGTCCTGCCTGGGCTTTCGGGGCTGTAGATCCCACCCGTGGGCCTAAGCTGAGCTCTGACCCTGGTCATTGGTCACAAGCTGAGCCCCTGCCTCACGGGACATCCGTCTGGCGCCGGCCTTGGCTGCAGGGGGCCTGGGTGGGAGAAGCAGGGGGCCTTGGTTGTGGGGGCCCTACTCCTGTATCCAGGAGGCAGAGGCAGAGCCCACACTGTGAAGCGCTCGCTGTGACTCAGGCGGCTCCGCCTCACTTTATTTTTATCCCCATCAAACCCTATAAATACAGCAACGATCACCGAATACAGCCAATATGCCCCACGCCTCCCACCCCTGGCACTGGCCCACAGTCACCAGGGGGCGGCTGGAGACCCAGGCACACAGACGTGCTTGGGCGGGGAGGGGCCCAGGCCCCGGGGAAGGGCCGCATGTCCCCTCCGCACTTGGACGGCCCGGAACCCCCTCCTTCCTTCTCGGTTATGGTGCCAAGTAAACAGCACGTCCCCTACCCTGGAGACTCTGCATTCGTTTTCCCTTCAGAGGCTGGAGTGAGAGTTGGGTGGACAGCGCTCCCTGGGGTGTGGAGCTGCCCCTCCCCCAGGGATGGAGGACGAGCTGGCTCTGCCGGTTCCCAGGACAGTGGCCAACGCCTTCGCTGAGGACGCGATTAGCAGACAACACTCGCATGCTCCTCTCATGGATTTTTTTAAAGCTTTTTTTTTCTTTTTTGCCACTCCGGCTTGGCGTTCAACACCTTGGGAAGCTGTTACAAGTCTCACGGCGCAGTTGGTTTTCTAAGAGCCTGGTGCTGTGACACGACTGGTCTCGAATGGTTGGGGGCCAGGCGCTGGCCTCGGTCAGAACCCTCGATGAGCTGGGCTGGCGCCAGCCCCTTCTCAGGATGCACTCCCCTCGTGACAGCGCCCCTGCAAGGGGACAAGGCAACTGTGTGCCAGCCCCCCCCTGCTCCCCTACGCCCCGGCCCTTTACTACGCTTGGGCTTGGGCAGCTCCCTCACTGAACCTTTAACACGCCCAGAAAAGCACTGTCGCTGCTCGGCGCGTCACTCAGCAGGTCGGCGGTTACATGGGGAACACCACGTGCAAAGCGAGCCCGGGAGTACAGCTCGCGCTCATCGCGACCCCTCCCCGCTCCTGGCCACGCCCGTGCCAGGAACTCTGCTGGTGCAGAGACGCCAACACAAGCATGGGGCCTGCCCCAGGGGCCCGTCCTGCAGCGGGCGGGACGCACACCTGGGAGGGCGATGGTCCTGATAGGAATGCTGTCAACAGCAGCATGAAGAAAACGGGGCTCGTCTCCCCCGCGATGCTGTCTGGGGGTGCCCTCGGTCCCCGCTGGCAGGAGGCTGCCTGGCTCAGCCCCTCCGTGGAGGCGCTTTGGTGCGTGGTAACGACCCCGCGTCTCTCCCTCGGGCGCTGACCCAGGTGCCCGGGTCTGACCCCCTCCCTGGAGCTCGGCCAGCCTCTGCCTGGGGGCGCCAGCAGTCACAAGGAGGCCGCCCCTGACCTGGGCAGCGGGGAGCAACACCCTGTGCTGTGTGTGGGCCCCTCTCTGGCCCCACGTGCGGCTCTTGGTTCATCAGCGGGGAGACAGGCTGCGATGACCGTGCCGGGCGCGGGCCCCTCCCCGGTTCCCAGGCCCCTTCCTCCGGTGTCTCCAGGAGGGCGGAGGCGCTGTGGTTCAGGAGGAGGGTGGCCCTGGGCTTGAGGCCCCGCGTCCACAGGCTGAGCCGGGAGGACGGAGGGCGCACCGGGCGGGCCTCTGGAGTAGGCGCCCACGTGCACTGAGGCTGCTGACGGGGAAGCGGCCGCTCGGGCTGCGACGCGGGCACAGGCCTTTCGGCTCCCTGGGGTCTCGGTGTCCGGGGCGACAGCCTGCCTCGGGGTGGCCCGCCGGCGGCCTCCGCACTCCTCCGGCTCGGACCCCTCCGGGTCGGGCTCGTCCCGGGCAGGGGCCCGTTCCTGAGGCGCCTGCGAGGCCCGGCCCCGTGCGCTCCTTCAATGTCACCCCGTCCGCGGACGCGGAGACTGAGGCTCGTGGCGAGAACGAGTCGGCGGTCTCCCAGGACCTGGGGCGCCCGCGAGCGCGGGTTTTGTGCCCCAGCCGGCCGCCGTCCCCGGCCGCTTCCGGCTGCCCGCGCGAGGCACTCTGGGACTTGTAGACTCCAGACGCACGCGGCCCACGGCGCGTCCGTGGCCCCGCGGCCATTGGCTGACGCCAGGTGCCGGGCGCGGGGCGGGCTTGCGGGGCTCGGCCGGCGCGGGAGGGGCCGTCACGTGATGTTTGGGTGCAGCCTCCGCCCCTCGCACCGCCCCTCCCGCCGAGAGCGCACGGAGAGCGCCCGCGAGCTGCCCAGGCCCAGGTGAGGCGGCGGCGCGCGGCGGGATCGACCGGCGGGGATCGGCCGGCGAGGACCAGGCGGACCTGGCCGGGAGGGTGCGTGGACCGAGGCCTGGGAGGGCGGCGATCGGGGGTCGGGAGGGGCGCGCGGGGCCCGTGAGGCGGGGCCTAGGCGGGGGCGGGGCCTAGGCGGGGCGGGGCCTCGGGCGGGGAGGGGCCGCCTTGGGAGGGCGGGCTGAGGAGCGCTCCGGCTCCGCCTCCCCGAGGGCGCCCAGCTGCGGGGATTCACCCGAGGGCGCAGGCGTCGGGTCGCCCCCCGCGGCGGGTTCTGAGCGCCCAGGGTCCCGGGGCGGTGGGCGCTCTTTTCCTGAGGCCCCAGTGCCCACTCGGTGGATGCGAGGGCCGGTCCCCAGCCCCCAGCGCGTGGGAACCAATCCCCGAGGGCAAGCCAGCTCGTGTGCGCTTCCCTCGGCGCCGCCCAGCCTTTCCTGGGTTTGACTTAAAAGGTGTCTCTGAGAGTTGGGGCCTCGCGCCCGCCCTAAGAGCATCCAAGTGACCCCATCTGTGCTGCCCCCTGGATGCCCTCCAGGGGCCTCCTTTGGGACACTCAGGTCGCACTTCTTCCCGACCCTGGGACTCTGTGTGCGCTGTCCAGTGTGGTGGCCACTGGCCTCACCTGGCACAGGTACGGAACACTGTCGCCATCGCAGACAGTTCTGTGTGCCAGTCTGCTGGACGGGATGGGCCTGCTGTCATCCCAGCCACACCTGGGTCCCTTTCCTTCCTCATCTGCCTGCTTCCTGCCCTCTCCTAGTTCCTGGCAGGATGGCAGCTCAGCGTCCTCTGGGCAGGTCTTGGGTCACTTTTGTGACCACTCTCTCCCACCAGTGTTTCCTGCGTCAGGCTCTGTCTCCCCCCCTTTCCGCATTTCGTGTCCTGTCATTGCCGCTTGTTGCTTGTGTTTATTTTATCTTCAGTACCTGGGAGGCAGGGATTAGGGTTGGGCCTTGCTACACCCCCCAGCATGGACACAGTATTAGGGTGAAGGATACAGATGAAGTTGGTCAGTTTGGAGTGTTCCGGCCTGTTCTAACAGTGCTTTCACGTGGTTCAGCCTCACACATTGTAGGTCCTGGAAGGAATCTGGTGCAGCAAATGCCTGCCAAGGTCAGCACAGTGTCAGGTGCCAGGTGGTGATTGCCAGTGGTTGTGGGAGACTGGCAGGTCTCGGAGGGCTTCCTGGGGGAGGCGGAGCTTTAATCCAACCTCTTCCTCGTCTCTCCTCTGTTGGCCTGGCTGCCTTGACTGTGTCCAGAGTCTCCTGGGTGCCCCTCTGCAGGCCCTGAGATGGGCACCTCGGCACGGGAACCGCTTGTGGGCTGGCATCCTCAAGTCCCTCCCCTGGCTCTCTGCTGTCGGCGGGGTCGAAGGCAGGGGCCTGGCTCCTGCCTGTGGCTCCAGCCACATCTCCCATGATTTGCTTCACGGGCCCCAGCAGTGCGGAAGTCCTTGTTTCCTGGACGACCCGTGTCTTTTCCACCAGCATGAGCGTGTCGATGCCAGGCCCTCTGCTTGGAATGCCCTGTACTCCTGATGTCTTTTCGGGAGCCTTCCTGTCCCCTGCCTCCCCTGGGCTGGGTTCACCCACATTTATGCCCGTGGCTCAGCTTCTGGTGCTTAACCTTGCCTTTCGGTGTTACGCTGAAATGACCTGTGTTTGTCTCCCACACATGATTGGGAACCCCTGGGGTGCAAGGACCTCCCTCTTGGTCACCCTTGGACCTTGAGTGCCCAGCCCAGCGTTTAGAGCCTGTTGGGCACCCAGCAGATTTTGATGAGTGAGTAGACTGGACATAGAAGCCAGCGAAGAGGACAGAGTGAGACATGCGCTTGTGGCAAGAGGTCTGTCTGTTCAAGATGTGGAAAGCTTGACGCAGGGACAGGGGACTTACCTTCCAGTTTGGGAGAAAAGACTCAAACTGTGACCAGTGTATGCTGAGCATAACGACACGGAGCAGATGTATGCCTCAGGGTCCTGAAGGACCCACTTCTTAGGATGTGGGCTCTGGGCTGGGCTGGGCTGCAAGGCAAGGTTGGTCAGCCAGAAGGGATGGGTGGCCTTCCGGGGGAGACAATGATCATATCTGCCACGCTCTCACAGTGTGCTGGGTGCTGGGCTCGGTCCTAAACGATTATGCCCAATAACTCAGGTCACTTTCACAGTGAGCCTGGGAGGAAGGCCTGTTATTACCCAGTGTTACAGCTGAAGAAACCGAGGCTCAGAAATGGGGACCTGCCTGCGCCCCTAACTGCGAAGCTCTGGGATGCAGTCCACTCCACCCCGACGTACGGGTTGTGTCTGAGGAGGCTGGGCATTCACTTCTCTGGCTGGTGTTGGCACCTGACCAGGTGGCCAGGGCTTGGGCTGTTTTAACGCTCGAGGGCAGACCTGGGGCTGCTGGATTTGTTTTGATTGTGTTATTCGCTACCAGTGGGATTTAGCTGTGGCTCCATCTGGCTGTGTTTGTTGTTCTTTAAAATCTGCTTCGTGCGACGTCATGACGGCCTTGCTGCGCTCTGAAGGCAGCCACCTCTCGGATCGGTCTGTTTCTGCCCCGCCCCCCAGCACCGCCTGGCTCCTGAATGTCTGTTTGCTGGATCTGTGAATGGAGGCTGGGTGAGGAAGATGAAGGGAGGAGAGAACGAGCAGAGCTGAAGAATGAACGGGCCTGTCCTGTCTCTCCCCGGGATGTCACCTCCGGTTGTTCAGCACTGATTCTTGTCGGTGTTTCTGCACTTGACCTTGAACATCCGTATCCCCTTTGGGTGTGCTGAAGCAGGCCAGGGGACGACGGGTCCCATTTTTTAGCTGAGGGACTTGGGCTCAGAGAAGGCTCCTCCCGTGCCCTGAGCCCAGACGCCAGGCCGCCGTCTGCCTCCCCTCCCAGCTGTGGCCCTCGCCTGAACCAGGGGGCTCCCAGTGCCTGTGTGTTGAAGAAGTGAGGGGGGTTGTGACAGAGCGGTCCTGAGCCTGCGTTCTTACTCTGCCTCGCTTCCTGTTAGTGTTGCCCGTGGAGCCAGTGGAACCTCCCGTAGGAAGGGACTAGACCGAGTCCTGGTATAGACGACAGGGCCCGTCCACAAGCCAAGGCAGGTGCCTTGCAGGTGCCCGAGCTGCAGAGCCAATGGCAACGCCTCCTGGGAGTGGGTGCCTGGTCAGCGTGCCCTCGCTGCCTGCAGTCCAGTGCTGTCCTCAGAAGCCTGTCGCAGCTGTTGCACCAGCCTTTTCCCAGCTGCGGGGTTGTCTCCATCAGCCTGAGCCTTGCGGGGGCCATGGTGGTGTAAAGGGAAGTGAAGGTGATACCACGCCGGTGGAGCCCTCCCCTCTAGGTCTACCCTGAGCCTGGGCAGGCCCATCAGGCCTTGAGCCAGCTTGGTGGGCTGAGGTGTCATGGCAGGCAAGCAGGATGGCCTGCTGGGGTGGGTCACTGGCAGGGCCCTTGTCCTTGGCGGAGCCACGGCCTCTGTGGTCAGGCTGCCGTCGAGGTGCAGAGCGTTCCAGGAGGATGTTCTAAGGCCAGGCCCTGCCCAGAGCCCCAGGTTGCGTGGGGGGCAGGATGGGGCTGGCCTCGTCAGGGATGCAGCTGTGCACGCGTTACAGAGTGGGGTCACAGTGGGTGGCCAATGAGGGATATAGAGGGGGTCCCCACTGTGCTTGTAGTTGTGGGGTCCTGGATGCTGGTGACGCTGGGCTGAGTCTTGGAAACTGAGCACTAGCCTGGGAGGATGGAAAGGAGGCCCGTGCAGGCAGTGGGAGA